GGGGGGGGAGAAATGACCCAAGCCTTGTATGCACATATGAATAAAAATAAAAAATAATAAAGAAAGCTTCTTAAAAGGTGATCCTCCACTTGGCCAAGAGTTGATTTTGCTCTATTGTTTTGTTGGTTTTGAAGAAGCTCTATTTGTATTGCACCTTTAGCTTTGGAACTGAGCTACTGAAATTGCTAAAACTTCTTTCATTCCGAAACATATGCAGGAGACAAAGTACCAGATATGACCTTCACAGTCACTTAAGTCTAGATGTAGAGATTGCATCAATTGGTTCAGCTTGCCTCACGAGCACAGAATCTGAATTTTTCCAAAGACAACAGCAGTCTTATTTCTCTCTCTCTCTCTTTTTTCACCTCCTAATTGGAGATACTCTAACAGCAGCCAGAGGAAAAACCAGGCCCAGAGGATAGGATCAAGAGCATGACAATCACCTTAAGTAACCATTAATTGATGCATTAACATAAATTTCACTCTTACTAATTGTTGCTGGACGCTGCAAATAGGAGCATGTCCACAGATTCTAGGTCATGAAACTGTTTACTGAAGTAACTTGAACCTTAGCCTCTCTGTGGCCCTTCAGATTCTATCTTTTCTAAAATGAAAAGGTCGGCCCTTAGATCTGTGCTCTCTCAAGGTCGACTAGCACCTGCAGGGAATCTCCAACCCTGGAAGAGGGCAGGTGTCTGTTTGCTGCCTCCAGACTGTCTGTGTATTACAATCTCCCCGCTCGGGGGACAGAGCCCCTAGTGGGAAGAGTTAGCATGTCTTGCCCATAAAATGATTCTCCACACCCTTCTTCCAGCTCCATGTCCTCCCTGTCTTCCAGGAGGAAAACCAATGACACCAACATCCCTTCATGCAGCCCCCCGTGTTTCTGGAAAAGGTCTGAATTATGGAAGCAGGGCAGCGTATGGCCTTAGCCATGCCAGCTCTAGAAGCAGTGTTGCGCTCCCAATGTCGCCACTTTCTACTATGTGAACTTGGATTAGTAAATTAATTTCTCTGAACTTCAGTTTTATTTTGTAAATGAAGAAATTCAGGTCCATTTGTGGGGGGACTACATGGTGCTCAAATACATTAACTGGTTCCTAAAAAATTTAGCTCCTCTAGGCCGACGCTGGTGGCCCATGCCTTTAATTCTAGCTACTTAGGAGGCAGAGCTCAGGGAGGGCCAGTCCCGGCAAAATGAAAGTGAGACCCTATCCCAAAAA